TAGTTATTACTAAAGTGTAAAAACCGAAAAAAAGACCCTCTAACTTTCTCCTAGCAAAAGTAAGTTTCAGAAAACAAAGAGGAAATGTACGGTGCTTTGTAACTTCTTTACTACCAAGCTGATTCACAGGCCCTCAAGGGCAAAGTGTGTTCCTCCTTTTCAGCATCCCGCAGGGACCACAGTTTCTATCAATATATCAGTTAAGAAAGCCACCCCAATCTCTGCACTAACACTGTGTTAGAAACTGCTAAAATGTATATAGAAATGCAAAGGACCAAGAACAACCAAGATAATCTTGAAAGAAAATGTTGGAGAACAAAATACAGTAATTAAGATCGTGTATCACTGGTATTAGGATAAATATATCAACAAAACAACAACCAAAAAAACAAACAAAAACAAAAACCCCTCCAGAAATAGATTCACACATACAAGGTCACAGATTTATGACAAAAGTGCCATTGAAATTCATACAAAGTATAGTCTTTTTCATAAATAGGGATGAAGCAGCCGCTAGGTACCTGTTTGGAAAAAAAATTAAATTTGACTCTACACACAAAAATTTGAGAAGTGTGAAAAGCTAAACAATAAAGCTTCTAAGAAAAAAATAGACTATCTTCATGACCTTGGTTTGATGATGATTTCCTAAACATAATGCAAAAAACAAAAAGCATAAAACATAAAAGAAAAAAATGATTCATTAGACTTCACTAAAATTAAAACTTCTTTTCATCAATAGACACTGTGAAGAAAGTGAATGGGCAATCCACTCACTGGAAGAAGACACGTGCAATGGATTTATCTGACAAATCACTAAAAAGGCGAACAACCCAATTTAAAAAATGGATGAAGAGACTGATCAAGTATACTTCACAAAAGATATTTAAATGACCAATAAACATATGAAAAGATATTCAAGATAATTACTCACCAGGGAAATGCAAATTAAAACCAAGAGTTACCAATACACACTCACTGGAATAGCTAAAATTAATACTGACATGACAATACCAAGTGTTGGCCAGGATGTGGAGCAGCTTACTCTCACTGCTAATGGAAATCGGTAGTGGGAACATAATTTGGTTCAAACACTTTGGGAAAACTGTTTGATGATAACTATTAAGGTTAAACATACACCACTCCTATGACCCAGCAGTTCCACTCGGTACACTGAAGAGAAATGGATGCAAATGTCCACCAGAAGATCTAAACAAAAAAGTTCATAGCAGCTTTATTAGTAAGAGTCAAAGACCAGAAACAACCAAAATATCCATCAACAGAATAAATAAACTGCCATATATTCATATAATGGAATACTACAAAGCAACAAACAACTGATACATGGAACTCCACAGATGAATCTCATAGATATTCTGTTAAGCAAAAAGAAGCCAGATAGCTGACACAACATTGTAAACTGACTATATACTTAAAAAAAAATATATATATATATATATAAAGCCAGATGGAAAAGAGTACATTGTATGATTCCATTTATAGGAAGTCCGGTATAGACAAAACTAATCTATGGTGATAGAAGTCAGAATAATCATGACTTCTGGGAGGGGAAAGGAGAGAAAATGATAAGAAAGGGCCCAAGGGAAACTTTTTCAGTGACATAGATGTTCTGCATATTGATTTAGAAGGTAATTACTTGGATGTAAACATATTAAAATTTTATAACATTGTACACTTCAGATTTACACACCTTATTAGATGTTATACCTTAACTATAAATATAATTTTAAAAAGAAGCACAAATCAATTTAAAGAAAAATTTTAAACACAAAAACCTAATACATACTTTCAATATGCCAAATACTATATTAAGTGCCTAATATGCAGTATATCTCATTTAATTCTCTTAACCTTTTCCCAATAACCCTGTAAGGTAGATGCTATTATTATGCCCATTTTACAGATACATAACTAAAAGGCTTACATGAGATTAAAAGTATAGAAGTACTTTTGAAATTATATAATGCATCAAATGTAAGGAAACATAGTATGTGTCACTGTTCAAACATTTGTTTCCGTTCAAAAAGCTTTAAAAAAACTTAATATAATCTATCAAAAAATTAATACATAGTTAATATAATTATATTTACATGGTTACAATGTTTCCTTGTACTCTTAAAAAATATAAAACTGTTATATGCCAGGAACATGAACCTAAACTAAATAAAAACTCAACAAATGTTACATTAAAATAAGCATTCATATACATTATCTTTTAACTCTTGCAATAACCATACAAGATAAATAGGACCCCCATTTTAAAGATGGAGGAAAAAAGAGACAACAAGTGATTAAAATATTTCTCTGGTCTCAAATTTCCCAGAATTAGTGACAGAATTAATTAAGAGTAAAAATTAAATTACAAGTATATACTTCACTTGATTTTTATAATTGATTAATACTTTTCCTGATGTAATCTAATTTCCATTTCCCATATAGAGATGTGACAGGAGCATAAAAAGAAGTTTCAATTACGTGTTTATACTGAGGCCATTAAAAATTTTATGTAGTTTATGACCAAAAAATTTCAATGCATAACGGATTATAGAATGATTATTCCTTCAGAAACATTAGCCTTAGTGATTTTTTGAATTTCTACATCTAAACAAGAATATTAAACAGATTAAAGAGAATTATAATCCCAACATCTATGGCATTTCTTTGTCCATAAAATACAGCTAAAATTATAGCCATTTACAATAACAAACAAAATAGCAAGCATTTATAACAGAAAATAAATAAAAATATAATCAAATTAATGCAATATTTACTTAATGCCTATGGGAGAAGCACTATAAAACAATGGTATTTCTAGGCTCAATCTAAAATTGCAATCCAAACTATTACGTATTTCATCTTAAAAATCAAGGAATTTTAATCTGATATTCGCCTTTTTAAACAAAATATATGCATCAGACGATGGAAACATTTCACAATAAAAGATAACATTTCTGATCACAAAACTAAGTTCATCTATATCCTTAAATAAAAATGTCTGACTCAAGTATTTGAAATGGAAATAAAAAATTCACTAAATGTAAATGACCAGCACTTTATTTTAACCAAAGCTCTTAAAATCATATATTAGATCAAAAGTAGTTCCTTGATACGTATACTGGAAGTGACTTTCTGAATGAAGTCAAATTACGCTGTGCCCCTACGCCTTTCCTCTATCTGGACACTTATTAGAAGTATCAGTACTAGCGCTGACTTTTAAAAGCAAGAGCACTCAACAAGAAGCCTCAGAATTCCCAGAGGTCCTGTTCTGCTTCCCATCCGTGTCAGCAAACCTCTTCTAGGACAAGAGTTCCCCACAAACTCTGGCACAGAGCAGTCAGGCCCTCAGAACTCAAGCCAGCACAATATTCCAGGGTCACATGACACCCTCCTCTGTTCTGTTCCATTTCTATAACATTCTCAACAGCTTCCCATTCTCTAAAGGTTCTTCTTTCATTCACGCTCACCTAACTTTTCTTCTTATCTGTTCATCTATGTCAATTTTGGTCTTTACACAGTAAGCCATAAATAAAATAATCTCAAATGTTACTCCAAAAAGTATATAAGGACTCAGATATCTGCATGGGCTTAATCTAGGTGGGTGGTCCCCTCCCCCTTGAGGCTCTACTCTGAGTACACTTTAGTTTTCTAAGGTATATCTTTTTTAAATAAGTGATTTATTTTAATGTCTGTGTGTGCGTGTTGTCTCTTTCACACACACACACAAAATGTACCATATCAAACCCATAATTACACAGATGCCGCTTCTTAGGATGAAGCTAAGAAGTGAGACTTTAGAAAGAAAAATAGCAGGCAAATATAACAGGATAGGTGGTGAACGATTTGGCAAAAAATTGTCAAGATGGTATATAAGCTACTGAAAATTAGAAAACACTCCTCTACTTCAGCACACTTGGAAACTGTCTGTCCCCATCCAGCCACGGGTCTCAAGACCAATGGAATCTAAAGAAGATTTTCGCTAAGTGCCTCTCAAAGGCAGTCCCCAAGGGTTGAGTGAACTTCATATTACTAACACCTCACTCAGACTAACATTTTCACAATGTCTGGAATGAATGCAAAGTGAAATCATGACATTTTCAAGTAACACTCTCTTCATCTATTTCTGAAATGCCTAAATGACTGGAACGAAATGCAAAATAATCTCACAGAGTGAGTGGAGTGAGTGTTTAGAAAGGTGGCCATGAATTTCAATTCTGCTCTTTTGTTAATTATCTGTAAGCTCCTCTAAAGTAGAAACTTTACATTTTTTTCCCTATATCTTCTATATCTTCCATGGCACAGGGCTGGGCCCTTCATAGGCCTTTAATAAGTTAAAAAAAACCCTAAACTATTTTGACATAGCAGCTAATAAGTTCATACTTGTAATAATCCATAAACAAAAAAAATAGCTTGAAGAAGGCTCATACAAAATCTCAAGTGATAGAAATGTTTGTGATTACAGTCCCGCCATTGACTCTTCATATTTTACACAAGGATCGTCAAAATCTGGTCTCTACCTCACTCCAACCTCCCGCAGTCTCTTTCTTAATTTCCCAGGCTTGCATCCCTTTCTGCAGCTGCACTGAACACTCGTCATTGCAAATGCGCCATGCTGCTGCCCCTCTTCTTCACTTTCTGCTGTCCTTTGAGACTGAGCTCAAACATCACCTCAGCTGTGAAGCCTTCCCTGATTCTCCCAGGCAAAGCCGAGCACTTCCTCTTTCTGTGTTCCCTCAGAAGTCCAAAAGATGTCTAGATGGCATCTGCAATTACTCATTTATGTCTGTTTCTCACACGCCCCCCCCGCCGCCAGATGGTCCTCCTCCGCAGTGGAACAGTATGTTATTCATCTCTGCGCACCCAATCCCTGCCACAGAGCCTGGCACACAGCAGGTGTTCAAAATACGTTTGCTTATTGAACCCCTGAATTTCACTGGGCAAGGCAAGCCACCACACAGGCTCATTGCTACATTTCCGGTCATCTCAAGTTCTCTTAATTGCCACCCCAAAACATTTTTCTCTTTGATGGTTGAGAAAGAGAAGCAAAACCTTTCCAAATGCTTTAGAAAACTGTTTATTCTCGCCACTGTTCTCCCTTCATCAGAACAGGCCTCAGCAGGCCCCTCAGCAGCAGTGTCCCTGCAGGTTCCTATCTCCGCGGGGGCCTGGGCCTGCATGACTGGAGCAGCGCTGCAAGTTCAGGGTCATTGTGCCTCACCCCTCCTCTGGGGATAGGGAAGGCCGTGGGAATGCAGGACCGTACAGAGGGGACACAGGAGCCAGCAAGGGAGAACAAATGAGAATCGGACTGCCATCTTTGGTTAACATGAAAAAGGCCATCTCCTTAACATCTAGAAAGGTGGTACCAAAGAGTAACCACCACCAGCTGGCCATCACTTCATTAAGATACAATACTCTGAAATACTTGCCTCTCATCTAAAACAGAAGAAAAAGCTCTTATTATTTCAACCTAAAAAAAGAATCAATCAAAATTCAACAATGCCCTAGTCATCATCAAGAATTTTTTTTTCAGTCAGGTTTCAACCAGTTTTCAATCACCCAAACTAAAGATACATATCTTTATGCTTGGACCACATCTACCTCAAAAGAAAATGCTAGAACAGCTTATGTACTAGTACAAGTCAACAAATGCAATCAATGAAGCAAAATCTTCAGCTGTTATCTGTAAAACAGGTTGTAATCATCTAGCATAGAAAAGATAACGTCAAACCTGACTATCCTGTGTTCAAAATTATCATACCCCAAAATATGTACTATTAAACCCAAAGGGCAGATTTTAACTGTAACAATATGAATTTTTCAACTCCCCACCCGGAATAACAGTAAATTATCACGCTTCCCCACATCATCACAGGATAACATGTAATTTAAGAATGCATCATCTCCTCCTACACCAAGTCCAGTGCCATCTTCACAGCCAACGTATCTACTCCCAGCAACGTGGAAGAGTCAGAATCATGTCCTGGGATGTCTGGCTGCATGACAATTCAAGAAGCTGAAGGTGCTGCTGGTTCTGGGGGCTTGTTTTGACTTTAAGGTCCCACAACTCGCTAAGGGCTTTATCGGACACTCACTTGAAGGGCTTAAAAATTGGGTGGCCAAATAGCTCATCAAATAGAGGTCCTCAAAGTTAACTGCTGACCCCGTTTTCTGATCTCGGCTATAACCCCGGTACTGATAAAGGGAAAAATCTGAAAAGGCTGCCACCTCCTCTATACTGCTTGTTCACAGACTCTGTACTTCTAGGTATCAAGACAGAAGGTGTGGCTATTTCCTACGGAGGGGATAAGCGGTAGGGGCCAATGAGTATGAGCAGTGAAACATGGGATGGAACATTAGTCCTAGGAGATGAAATGGGCCTAATGGGGGCAAGTCAGGAGGTACAAAATGGGAGAAAAGATACCTCCACGAAGCGAGAGAGAGAGGGAGGGGAGGACCGATGAAGTGCTGGGTCTGCGCGCGTTAGGGAGGAGGCTGGAGCTGGGATGTACCTACCCGTCGAAACGGACGGTGCCAGTCTGCTGAGTCTGCACCCGGTAGTGCTCTAGCAGCAAGCGCACCACCTTGGCGTGCCCGTTGCGGGCTGCGATGATGAGGGGCGTGGAGCGCTGCCCTCCCTGCTGGCTGACATAGCCGAGCAGGTAGCGGATGTCGCTCTCAGACCGGTTGAGAAGCAGCGCAGCCAGAGTCAGCACCTTGCCCTCGCTGGCAGCCTTGTACACATAGCCAGCCAGGCCCTCCATGGCCGCCGCCAACTCCAGCACCCGTCTGGTCGCCACCGCTGCTGCCGCCTTGCGCCCCCGGAGG